GGAACCGGGTGCTCAGTAGGATGATCAACCATAATCATATTGAGTGGCACAGCAGGCTCGAAGGGCCCAATGGTCTACTTCTGTACCTATTTTCTGTGTTTCTATGCTCCTTATTGAATTTAATACTATCTTTAAGTTCTAACGTTAACTACGATTGGGCCACTTTACATGCTGTGCCCTTTCACCCAAAAGGAATCTCAAACTGCTGCAATGGACACATTCACTCCATACATATTAAGTCATTTCCTATCCATTGTCATGCTTTTTAATGAAGTTAACCATTCTATCACAGCTAACATGCCTCATATCTTTGTGATTTCTCTTGTTTGGATTTAGGATCTTAGGTTTGTATTGGACCTCATAACTTTCTATCCTCATGAACAATTCTATCATGTTATGGTCATATTTATCCTAAAGGATCTCTCACAAGATTGTTAATGGCATCCTCTACCTCACCATTACTTCTTGAAGGCCTATAGCAACTTCCAGTAATGGTTACCATCCCTTGATGCTTCTTAGCTCCAACCAGTCTAATTCCACATCTAGATTTCCTGTCCCAATGTCCTTTCTCACCATTGGACATGGTCACCCCACCACTTTCTTGGTGATCATCACTCCCAAGAACTTGATGCTCTTGACCGTCTTCACCTCACTGATACAGACAGGGGCATGACCTCCACTCCCACTTCCTAATTTTTCCTATCCTTCCTAATAACTGAATACCTTTGGATATTCAGTTTCTACAGCTGATCATCCCACAGCCATGCCTCTGTAGTTGCAATCATGCATGTTTACAACTATTTATACTGTTAATCCATCTACTCTATTGCAAATGTTCTATGTATTTGGATATAATACATTTAGACTGGTCTTTTCGACATTTTTATTATACTTCAACCCAACATCTCCTCCACGATAATCCTCAACACTGGTGCCCTGCAAGGCTACATACTCAGCCCCCTACAGTACTTCTTATACACTCAAGATTATGTGGCTAAATTCTGGTCCAACTCCATTTATAAGTTAAAAACCAAGAGAAATGTAGACGTATACATCAAAAGCAAAAACAGAAATTGCTGGAAAGGTTCAGCAGGTCTGGCAGCATCTGCGGACACAAATCAGAGTTAACGTTTTGGGTCAAGTGACCCTTCATCAGAATTTCCATTTACAAATTTGCTGATGACACCACTGTCATAGGTTGGATCTCAAACAACGATGAGACAGAATACAGGAAAGAAATTGAGAGCTTAGCAGCATACTGTAAAGACAACAATCTCTCCATCAACGTCAGCAAAATGAAGGAGCCGGTCATTGACTTCAGGAAGCGGAGTGAAGGGTACACCCCCGTCTGTATCAATGGTACTGAGGTGGAAATGGTCGAGAGCATCAAGTTCTTGGGAGTGATGATTACCAACAATCTGTCCTGGTCCAACCACATGCATGCGATGATCAAGAAAGCACAACAATGTCTCTACTTCTAATGATGATACGTTAGCCATTGCTAGGAAGAAAGTGTGGCTGGGTTGTGAGAGGACTAATGATGAAAGGGGGCATGGAACTGGCACTCTGATCAAAGTGCTTCCAGTTTCTTCTTATTCCTAACACTCGCCTCTCAGTCAGTACCCTGTACGCTGCCTTGTGTCTTGATCAAGTAACTCCTGCACAGATTTTTTAAGTTACAAAAATGGCATTTTTACATATTATCTATCCTGTTGCTTGCTCCTCCTCCCTTCTTCTATTTAATGGTTCAATCAAACTAACTGCTATCTAACTTATTCTGTGAAATAACTTATCTACTGCAGTCTTTTGCCTCCTGAAACAATTTTCAGGCTATTGAAATTCAACTTGGTATTACATGATCACTATCTTCTGATTTAACTTTTCCTTTTTTTCCCAACATTGAAGAATCCTAATGTAAAATCCATCACTTTTGTGGCTCGAGGGACGAATGGGCAACTCCTGTTCCGATTTCTTCTGGTCATATATGCCAGTCGAATTCCAGCTTCATTTTTATTTAATAGGACTCCAAGCTGAATGACCAATGCAGCAATAATTAGCAAAGCTTGGTGCACTGGCACCCAACCTTACCTGCCCATTCTAGGACATTACAGCATTCTTATGGGACTTAGCCATGAAACTTAAAGTGTTAGTGTTACCACTCCAAAACTTGCCGGATAAATGTAAGTGGGACAAAGGTGAATCTTATAATGATTAGTTAAGAGACAAAATACAAGCAAGGTCATATATATAAGCCCTGCCATGTCTGGTTATTGCCCAATCCACATTTAGAAATGGGAACGGCTAATACCAGTTTAAAAATTGAAATTGTAGCCTCACTCAGATAATGCTGCTGTTATTCGTGATCTAATTTTCAGATGGATATGAATCTTAGCAGCTACAGCTCCTGCTAGAAACATATAAGTAGGATAAAGTGACAACATGTTGGCCTTATTCGGCTTGCTCTGCTGTGTAACCTCAATTTTCACTCCTGTTCATTAGCAATGCACAATGTCAGGAAGTGACTAAAATAACATATATTGGATCCCCAGTTACACTTTTCTTATAGCAGTGTGTAGTTCTTTTTTCAGCCTAAATGATTTGAAAATGCTTGTAGCTGCTGCTATGAATACAGAACTCCTGATGCTTTCTGTCGTACTATGGTGAGGCTAAAAACGGGAACTAGTGAGCTTGATGTCTGTCATGGAGAAGGTATTTCAATTGATTATTAAAGAGACTACATCCACATACTTAGAAAAACTCAATTGGGAAGAGTCGGCATGGTTTTTTTTAAAGGAAAATCGTGTTTGACCAATTTAGTGCATTTCTTTGAAGGAGTAATAAATAATGGATAAAAGGCAGACTGTAAATGTACTGTACTTGGACTTCCACAAGGGATTTGATAAAGCAACACATCAAAAGTTAATGCAGAAAATAAAAACACATTGTATAAGGGCTATCAAAGCAGCATGTACAGAAGATTGTCTGGCCTGCAGAAAACAGACAATGTGAAGAAATGAGTCTTAGTCTGATTGGCAAAATCTAATGAGTGGTCTCCTGTAGGACTCTGTACTGGCATTGCAGCTTTTAACAATTTATATCAATGACTTAGATAAGGGCAATGAAGGCATGACAGCTCAATTCTGGTCAACTTCAAATGAAGTCAGAAAGTATGTTGTGAATAAGGCATAAGGAGGTTGCAGGCTAGGTTGCGTGTGTGGCAAAAATCTGGCAGACAGCATTTAATGCAAGAAAATGTGAAGTTGTTCATGTGGCAGGAAGAATGACAAAAGCAGTGGATTTAGGTGTTCTAGTGAATGAACCGCAAAATGTTAATGCGTGGGTACAGCATGTTACAAACAAGATGGTGAGTGGGATAAAAGGCAAGTACCACAAATGCTGGAGATCCGAAATAAAAACAGAAAGTGCTGCAGAAACTCAGTAGGTCTAGTAGAATCTGTGGAGAGAGAAACAGGATATTTATTGATTAGGTGAATGGGCAAGGCTATGGCAGATGGATTTTAATACAAGGAAGTGTGAGGCTATCCATTTCAGACTGAAAAATATTAGATCAGGGTCTTTTTTTAAGAAGGCATAGAGTTAAATACAGTGCATGACCAACAAGATTTGGAGTTTCAGGTGAATAGCTGTTTAAAATGCCACGAAGAGTAAATAGGTGCAGAAAATAATCACAAACGCTAATGGAATGCCAGCCTTCATATCTGAAGGGCTGGAGTATATGAATACAGAAGTAATGCTCCAGTTATACAAAACCATAGTTAGACCCCGTTTAGAGTACTGTGAGAAGATCTGGGCATCACAGTTTAGGAAGGATGTTTTGGCCCTGGAGCAAGTTCAACAAAGAGGTACAAGGATGATACCTGGACTTCAGGAGTTAAGTTATGAGGAGGGATTAGACAAATTAGCCTTTATTCTTTAGAGGTTAAAAGGTTAAGGGGTGATCGAAGTCTTCAAGATATTAACAGGGAAAGACAAGATAGATAAAGGTAAATTATTTCCACTGGCTGAAGATTCTAGAACTAGTGACGTAGTCAAAGAATTAGGATTAGGCCATTCAAAAGAGAAGTTCAAAAGCACTTCTGCATGCAGAGAGTAGTGGAAGTTTGGAACTTTCACTCTCTCAAATGGCAGTCGTGCTAATTCAACTGTTAAATTTAAATCTGAGACAGACAATTTTTTATTAAGCAAGGGTATCAAGGGATATAGGCCTAAGGCAGGCACATGGAGTTAGCTCACAGATCAGCGTGATCTCATTGAATGGCAGAGCAGGCTTGAGATGCTGACTGTCCTACTCCTGTTTCTATTTTCCTAACATTTTGAGTCCAATATGCTTTAGTTATACAGAGCATTGGAGTGACCACATCTCAAATCCGTGAGGATTTTTGGCGTCTTTATTTAGGGAACGATGTAAATGCAGTGGAGGTGGTTCAGAGGACGTTTACTGGATTGATACTTGGAAAAAGTGAGTTGCCTTATGAGGATAAATTGAACAAGCTGGGCTCTTCTTTCATGGAGTTTGGAAAGTGAGGGGTGACTTGATTGAAGTGTACAAGAGTCTGAAATGGTCTTCACAAAATGGATGTAGAAAGGAGGTTACCCTTTGGGGTCAGTTCAAAACTGGAGGCATTGTTTAAAAGTTAGGGGTCACCCTTTCAGGACTGAGAGGAGGAGAAATCTTTTCTCTCGGAGGGCTGTGCAATTTTGGAACTCACTGCCTTAGAGGTGGAGCCATTAAATATTTTTAAAGCAGACGTAGATTGATTCTTGTTAAGCAGGGGAATCAAAGATTATTGGGACAGATGGGAATCTAGAATTCAAACCACAAACAGACAAGCCATGATATTATTGAATGGTTGTGCAGGTTCAAGAGGCCAAATGGTCTACTTCTGCTCCGTTTTCTTATGTTCGTATATTTTTGTTGATAGTGAGGAAATAAGTCATGATCTTTCCAGCACTTTCCTTCGCAACCTGAAGTTCTGTACCTCATCAATGCTCCACTGGGACACCTTGCTAGCTCGGAAATTCACCACTCCAGGCAGAAGTTTGCAATGCTGCTCCCAGCAAAATGGGAGATCACGAACTGGGTGAGCAGACATGGCTGACATGAAGACAGACTGGTGGAGAGCTTGTTGCATGCTGTCAACTGAAAGATCTAGAAAAGAAAGGCAAGAAAGAATTACTCATGTTTCTAGGAGCATCTCTTTCCCATCTGGCGTTGAACGTAACTTTTTTGCTGTGACATTTTTTTTTTAAGAAAGCATTCAGTTCCAGGCTTGTTTGTGTAATCATGAGGAAGCTTGCCACACCATTGGTAAGAATTAGTTTCAAAGCTTTGACCTCTCATTAACTGAAGAGATGTTACGAAGTTGTGTAGAGTAATCATGAATTGGAAGGCAGGAAGCTAGAATCTGTTTGTAGAAAAAATGGGAGAAGAGTGCGTGGTTCCTTTTTAAGAGGTAAAGTGCTTTTCTAAGCTTAGAGATTTAAATAGAAAAAAATGTGTCTGTATGTAGCTGAAGACGTACAGCCAGTACTAAAACTGAAACATGTATCAACTGGCTGTGTGATTGGAAACCTTAGACTTGTTTTGATGTTTTGGCAACTAGCTGGAATCAGCCAATTAATTTAAACCAAGCACTTAGCGATTAAAAGCCAATTGAATTTAAATCTGATGGTTTTGACAATCTTGGACCGATGCTATTATAAGAAAATTGATATGTCATCCAAGGTATACAAGGAGAGGGTTTTTGAAAATCAGTGTGAGAGCTAACTGCCATCTGAGAAATAAGCATCTAGCTCTCTCAAGAAATTGCTAAATTCACTAAGAAAGCACCATCTATCGATTTTAAAAAGGTACCATAGCACATCTAGCTAAAAGTCCTCACAGAAGACTTCACAGAGAAAACATCCCTGACAGCCGGAACAGCGGAAGAAAGGCGTTTATGACTTGAGAACAGCAGAAGAAAAGTGTGTAGGCTCTGTGACATGAAGTTTTAATTTATTTTCTTATTACTTGGGTTAATATAAGTGGGACTTAAGTTTATTGGAACAGCATACCAGTAGAATTTAGTTCAGTTAGGGAATAGTTAGTAATTAAAGGGAAATAGTTTGGTTTGTTAGTAATTTTGTTAATTTGTTCACTGTTAGGGTTAAATAAATAAATTGTTACTTATAAAGTGAATATCAGGGATTTTCTTTCATTTAACCACTCTTTTTAACAAACTATAAAGGAAGGTGAGCTTTTCTGGGTGTTTCAGATTTAATTATTAGAAGGGAACCTCTACTCCCACAGTAACAGACTGGGGGCTTGTGTTTCAGTTTAATTATCAGACGGGTTTGAACTCCTGTCTGTAACAGAGAAATAATTTAGTGAATGGGTCATTGAATGTGTTAATGAAGAAGTGAATTTTTATGATCAACTGCCTGGAAGGAAAGAAAACTCATTAGACGCTGATCAGCTGAGTAATATTGTATCCATATGCCTGAGTGAATACTACATAGAATCATTGAATCCCTACAGTGTGGAAGCAGGCCATTCAGCCCATCCAGTCCACTCCGACCCTCCAAACAGCATCCCACCCAGACCCACACCACCCTACCCTATCCCTGTAACCTTGCATTTCCGATGGCTAATCCACCTAACCTATATATCCGTGGATACTTTGGGCAATTTAGCATGGCCAATCCACCTCACTGCACATCTTTGGACTGTGGGAGGAAACCCATGCAGAAACTGGGAGAATATGCAAACTCCACTCAGACAGTCACCCAAGAGTGAAATCAAACCTGGGTCCCTGGCGCTGTGAGGCAGCAGTGCTAACCACTGGACCACCGTACCACTACTGAAAGGGATTTTTACATGAAAAACACAATTTTAAAATTCAATAAGCTTGTGCAAATCAGTCACACAGACATTTGTGCTCAATTGGTAGAACACACTATGTTGGACTTTCAAAATGAACCTTAGCAGAACAGAGTTAACAATTCAGATATGTTCCTTGACCGCTGAATATTTCCAGCATTTTATTTCTAACTTCAGCATTATTATGCCTTACATTTACAGAGCAGATGTTCTGTTCTGTTACCTGGACTAGAGTCTGTTTTAGGATAATTAATGAACGATTTTAAGACAATTAATAAACATATCAACAGGGCTACTAATTTAAATCAAATATAACCAATTAATTTATTTGCAGAATATTTTGGAAGGCACAATTCCAAATTGCACAATCATGATCATATTTAATTGCAAATTATTTTTATACGTTTGTTTATTATTTCATCTTGCCTTTTCATTCTTTTAAAAATGCTGGATACACAGCCAGAAGTAACTCATTCATTCCAGGCTTATCATGGATATGTTTTTCCCAGTCTCTTCCTATCCATTCCTTTTTGCAGTCTCTTCTTCAGCCTATCCTCCAACCCTGTTTGACCTGAAGATTGTTCTAGGTCTTTGCTCCCCTATGAAACATCACAATAAATTTACACTTCTCTGCCTTCGAAAGCATGTGGTTGTCCATTAACTTTCCATTCTCCATCCTGCTGCATCTCATCCTTCTACCACCCCACTCTAGCGTCCCTTCATGCTTGCACCAAACTGATTCAAACGATGCACCCATAAAACAATAACAAGTCACATCGGTATAAGATGGCCAACATTCCATCAGTAATTGGCAGCAAAAAGTAACAAGTAATGGAATTCAATATGTGTGGATGAAAAATGGGCAGCTGCAAACAAGTAGCAAAGTAAGAGGGAACAGAAAACAATCAAACTTCTTAAAAATGTTGAAAATTATTTTTGGTTAGTATCTCACTCGTCCCTGAAATGATAAGTGTGGTTCTTGAAATAAAATGTGACATCATAAGTACAGAAAACGTTACAAAAATTACAATAAGATTGCTAAACCTAGCCAGCTGTTACTAATTGCATTTTTGTATTCACAAATGAATAGCAGGCAGCAATGCTAAATATCTGATCTCAATGTTCACATTTGCATGACATGTGCATGTTCTTTAACATTTTTGTGCCATTGGTGAAATGAAAGAAAGCAGAGTTTGTCACCACTTTCAGATTATTCTGCACGATCCACTTCCTTAGATACCGATTGTTGGCTATCGACTAGAATGTCACTGAACACTGCAAAAAAGCAAGATTTTAGTACCATAGAAACATCAGAAACGGAGATAGAATCAGGTGGAGTAGGGAGAGAGAAGCGGCACTGCTTTCAAGCTCGGGAAACCTGGAAGAATTGGTATCCGCCTGTTCCTGCTGAAGTTATCAGCAGGTCCTGATTAGCATTTTTAATCTCCATTTCTGGGCTGTTAGATTGACAGGCAGCTTGGTCTTCAGTGCCAGGCTGCACCTGGGTAACAAACAGGAGGGAGAGAGGGACTGAAAAGGCTGGGCTGCAGCTAGTGGGAAATTGGAGGCTGAAGGAAGATCAGTTCCAAAATAGGAAATAATTGTTCGTCAGTGTCTTTCTGCAGATTAGAAGATTTGATGTTTAGTGGGCTACTGAAGGGCCACAAATTGGAAGAATTGGGTTAGGGGGTTGAAGGGGGGTTGGAAAAGCTGGGGGTTTCTGATCATGGCAGGTTAGCAAAGCAGGCATACAAGTGGAAAAGCTATTATGGCCTGGGTTAGGTGTCCTGGCTAGCCCAAACTCCCCACTCCGCCATTTTGGGTTTCTCATGATTTTGTAAAACAGGGCTGTTCAAATATATATGATACTTAAAAATGACACACAAAGCTTCATTATAAGATTTACATTGCTGACCTGTCTTCAGGGAGCAAGCTAGTTTCCCATCTCAACGTTCCACTGCTGTTAAAACTGGAAGTGAGCATGTTTGACATGTATTAAAGTTGGCATGTGTTTTAACATCCCACGCATCCCATTGTGCAGGGTTATAATTTCCCATGTTGAATGGAAAGGTGAATTATCCTTGTGCTCAGCTCAGGCAAGATGATGCCCTGTAGAGAAGGTATATTGACACAACATGAATTCCCTCCCGATATCAGGATTGCATCGTTTCCAGGGGCCATGCTTCTCCTGAGAGGCTGTTAAAGGTCTTGAGACCATGAGACGGAGAGCCGAGCTGTGCTGGTTACCTGAGGTTAGTGCCAATGAAGGTGACCATGGCCCTTAATTTCTCTGGCTCTTGTTCATTCCAGAGGTCCAATGAAGACATGTGTGGCAACTCCCAACCAACAGCACATCGCCAGCATTAGACACAGAATAATCATCAATAGGGGGGCTTCAATTACCCTGAAATGAATTGGTGAAGAAAGCTAAGTGAAGGCAATAAGGGAATGGAGTTGGACAATGTTTATGGGGCTTCTTTATAACCCAGTGTGGAAGGAAACCAAGAAGGGACTGATCTGTTAATGGGAAATGAACCAGAACTAATTCATAGAAATTAAAGGTAGAGGGACATTGAGGTGATAGTGGCCATAACATGACACGTTTAGAATAATAATTAACAAGGCTGCAAAAATGACAAAAGCCAGGATAGCAGAGTGCAGACAAGTTGATGTGGAAATCAGAATTTCAGCAATTAATTTTGGCAAACGATGATACAAAGACAATTTATTATTTAACATTGCTTGAAGGACTTAAGTGTTGAATGATTGTGGAAAATTGATTAATCTAATGTCTTTGTGGAAATACCTGGCAGGTGTCTTTTTTCAAAAGATTGAAAGCTCACTGCATACATTGGAGATTTACAAAACAAGATTTCCTGTAAATCATGTGACTGGTGATAACAGCTTGATTTGCTGTAAATCCCCTCTGTGACTATTTTGAACTGTGTCCGGGAAAAGAGAGGAGCTTGTTTTATCTGGATCAGTTGGAATAAAGTCTCTAAGAATGAGCTGACTTGGAGGAAAGCCTGCTAAGAACAAGTTGCCCAGCTGATCTCAATTTCTGAAAAGAAAACCCTCTTGTTGCATTCAGACCCATATTTGTTCTTTTGAAAGAGTGATTGAAGGAACATCACAAGATTGTATTTCCCAAGCAAGCTGTGTCTGCAAGACTTCAGAGTTAACTGTGTATGATTTGTGATTTGACAACATATGCAAGAGTATTAGAACAACAGACACCAGAATATCCTATGCTTTATAATTTTGCTTTTAAGAATAACCCAGTTATCAAT